TTATTTGTTGCATAAAACTGATTTAAGTACGTGTTCCAAATATTTAATCTAAATAATTTTCCATTTGTCTAGGAATGTAAGATGTTAAAAGAAATATGTTTGCCGTTAACCCGTTCCAGGGTAATACAATTAGCGTTACTCCAAAACATATTTCAACTTGGTTAAGTTAACTCATTGCCCGGAATTGCCGATGTTAATGAGACTAGACCGCTAGGGGTAGGCGAATTCAATCCCTTGCAGGTCTCCGGTGCACTATTAAGAATAGGGTAGTTAAAGGGCAGTTGCGAATTTACATATTCATTATCAAAGCAATTTCAAACTGGGGGATATGGCTGCCACGGTAATCAAAAAATGGCCGCTTTCGCCAAATAAAATTATCGACATGGATTACTCGAACCACTTTGTTACGATAGGGGTTTTACCAGATTATCTGTCGTTATCGCTCAGTCAAAGAAATATGTGTTTAAAGTGACGAAAAGATTTTTTGGAAAATGGTTGTGAGAAATCGCATTCGAGATATAAAGTGTTATGGACATATCAAAAATACGTGGCAAATATTCGAGTTTATAGAATTTAGTATTTACAGAAATGTCGAGCTTTAATATGCACAGACAATCCCGAATGCTATTCGCAAAATAATTAGAAACATTAACATTGTTGCAAAAATATTTCTGTTAATGTTAATGGCTTAGATCTTACTAATCAATGACTTTTTGTGTAGCTGAAATTTATTCTTCCTTTTAGTGAACTTGATAGTGAGGGCAGTTGGAAGGTGTAATGTTCAAAGTAAGGGCCGCTGAAAGGAGCATAAAAGATTAGGTGGTGAAAAAAATTATCTCTGCAATGGAAAGTACAACTCTATTTTTAATCGAGCCAGGATAAAAATTTTGGATTCTTCAAAGAAACTTCCACACACTACTGTAATACTTTTTATAAAACTTCCGCATTCCTTCTGCGTCGGTTTTTGTTGGGTCGAACTAGCTAACGTTTCGCCAATCATCCTGTTGGCTTCTTCAGAGCTAGACAGAAACTGGCTCGCATTTTACTCTGTACCTGCTTTTATATTATACGGACTCCATAAGATTCACAAACCAGGATTTCCCCTTCGACCTGTTGTCAGCATCATTCGTTCTCTAACATATTCTCTATCAAAATATCTAGCTTCCTTATTAAAACTATTTACAGGGAAAACTGACAGTTTCGTACTTAATTCTTTTCACTTCATCGAACAAATAAAAAGCATTACATTAGATATTCTGGTTAGTTTCGACGTAGAATCCCTCATTATTAAATTTCTTATTCCTGAGACTCTCGCCATAATTTCAGATATATTAAAATCCGAGAATCTGGAACCAAACCTTCTCACCTTAATTGATAAATGCTTTTCAGGAACAAATTTTTCTTAAAACGGTCAAATTTTTGAACAAACTTCTGGAACTGCTATGGGTTTTCCACTATCACCAGTCATCACGAATATATTTATGGAAGCCCTTGAGAACAAAGCTCTGGACCCCTTCCATTAAAAACCAGAATTATGGAAACACTACGTCGATGATACTTTTGTTGTTGTTGGCCTCATGGTCAGGAATCCCTAGTAGATTTTCTTAGACATTTAAACTCGACACACCCTAACATACGTTTTACCACTGAAATAGAAACTAATAACAACTTCTCATTTTTAGATATTTTTATCCATAGGACCAAACATTGGGTCATTGTGTTTACAGAAAACCTACGTAGACAGACCGATACCTTAATGCATGGTCGCATCAACATCCGGCCCAAAAATCATCAGTTATCAACTCTCTTGTTTACAGAGCCGTAAAAATATCTCAGCCCGAGCCACTGAACTCAAAATTAAAACATCCTACCTCTGCTCTTCTCTCTAATAATTTCCACATTAAAGATATTTAGCATTCCATCACAAAATACACTTCACCACAACCTTCTAATAGCAATGAAACCGAAAACAATCCCACACTTGCCAATGTTGTCCTTCCTTACATTCAAAACATCACTGACAACATATCAAAAGTTCTAAAAAAATATAACGTCAAAACCAGATTTACGACTTGTCCAAAAATCTCTCAACATCTTCGATCGGTCAAAGACAAAATTCCATTTGAGATGCCAGGAGTTTACAGCATTCCATGCATATCCGACAAAGAATACGTTTTATAGACCGGACGAAAAATATCAACTAGGCTCAAAGAACATGAAAGAGTTTTAAGACAAAGACAAATAAACTCATCAGCAGTTGCCGAACACAATCACGAAACTGGACATAAAATTTTGTTCGATAAAACTAAAATTCTTGCATATAATCAATTCTTCTACCAACGAAAAGTCGTAGCGTCTATAGAAATCTATGTGCAACCTAACAATTTTAACCGCGACTCGGGTTTCTACCTGTCACCAATATGGGAATCAGTCATTGGAGACTATGTTTATGCCCCTCATTTAGCTCCGCCCGCTCAAACAATATAATAGCAGGTACAGAGTAAAATTCAAGGCAATTTCAGTCAAGCTCTGAAGAATCCAACAGTATGATTGGCGAAACGTTAGCTAGTTCAATAAAAACCGACGCAGGAGAAATCCAGAAGTTTTACAAAAATAAACAAAATAAAAAATTTGGAATATGAAGAATATTCACAAATGATGTTCAATTTGTCTTTCTTCCCTGGGACATGCAAATACAAATTCTGTAGTCCGATGTATAAAAATCAAGAATTTTGGGCAATAAAATATAATGTTGTTTCTCCATGACTCAAATCTTGATTTCCTAATAACGTATAATTTCATAGCAATACCTAAACCTTGTTTGTAGCATATCTTTCAACATTTTTTTTCCGTCACCCAGATAATTGTAAAAACAGACTTGTCAGCTAGTTCGAAGATGTCATTCAAATCGTTGAAAGAAATCGTTCTGAAGAAACTGAAGGACCACGATATCCACGATATGGTCGCCGCAGAAATGACTTTCATGTTATTCGGAAAGAGCTGCGAGCCAACGGACCACGAAACCCTCGATAATCATAAGTTATAAAAAGCTATAAACTATAGTAATGACGCTATCGGCAACCAAAATGACTACGACGACCTAGCTGAACCATTATCGTGTAAGTAAAAATATAAACCCATCGCAAAAATTGACAATTCGCTCCCTAAGTAAGAGATAATCAACGGAAGTTTCTCCCCTAAACTGTATGTCAACAACGATGAAGAAAAACTCTAGGGCACCGCATAATCCTCTTTGGGCGGTAATATGGGCGTTCTGTTTCTTTCATCCAGGATGGTTGTTAGTCATACCCGATCGCAGTAGTACCAGCAAACTTGCTGAGCGATATCAAACTGGCCGAAATAACGAAAGCCCGTCTGAGGACTGAGGATTTTGAAGATATCAACGTCTCGTGTTTGGCGATGATGTCTACGATCTGGATAATTTCTTTCTCGACGCCCTCTTTATCGCTCGGCTTTACTGTCACTAAGCATTCCTCGGCTTCTTTTAAGCCACTCTTTTGAACCAATAGAGTGGTGTTTCCGGAGCTACGAGAATGAACACCACGATAAACACAGCCAAAGACCCAACCAGGATGGAATTGAAGATCTGAACTGATATGTAAAGTCAAGTATGCTAAAATTGAACTGAGGTTCAGGAACTAAAAGTTCAGATTTTCACGAAGTTATATATTTTTACATGACAACACATTTGTTTTTATTTATTTTGATTTCAAGTATGCTATATGGGGCGGTATAACAATGCAAAGTAAAGATTTTTTCTTCTTTCCTTGTTCCTTCTTTTCTTTTTTTCTTCCCATCATTCTTCCTATATTGGGAAGTGATGGGTTCTAGTGAGAGACTTTACCAATGGGTCTACCAAATGCAATTTGCAAGAAGACTAATCGAGGAAACACCTGTTATAAGGTTGCGATAAGAAAAGAATGGGGTTTTGTTTTTATATGAAAATATATGCTGTGTCACAATTCCACAAAAGAATATTGAAGATGGAACGCAGATTATTGTTTGATGACATTGATTAGTTTTGGTTAGTTAATTTTATAATCTTAATCCTCGAAATACAGGGCGTCCAAACTGTTTTTTTTTCTGCATAATTTCTTAAACAACTCCGATTTCTGCACGACAATCCGTAAAGTTCGTCAGCTATATCACGACCGGTATCTGATTAAACTTTTTCAATATATATCAATAAAAGGACGGTAGGCAGGATTATTTCGGTACCTAAATAAAAACCTTATTTGCTTTCGAAGAACTGGTTTCATCAAACATGGTTATGATCAAGTACAGCGAAAGCGAAGGTATTCCATACCGCCATTAACTTAGTAGACTTACTGACTTATTAATTTACGCTTCGAGTTTTAATCCGATACCGGTCATCATAAAGCGGACAAAGGTTACATGGAGGTTTTTTTGATACAAGAAATTTGAATACATTATTAATTTACAATTAATGTCAAAAAAACCCCATATGAGAATTTCCGTTTGGACGACGGCATTATTTATTAAATGATACAGAAAAAGTAAAATTAAAAGTTTGCGTTTTAGCATTCTTAAGCACACGTTTATTGCTTTTTCTACCTTAAAAATAAGTAAATTGAGAAATTATTATTTTTTAACATATCCTACTTTTCATTGCTTTTTTATTTTATTATTTTATTTTTTTTATTTAGAAAAAATTGGGATTTTGTTTGCTAATTTTTATGATATTGTTATATTGTATTATTTTAATTTGAAAATAAACTTGGTAAACTGATTACGTTAACGTTAAAAATTAGTGCTGTATTGGAAACTTCCCTTTACGTTCCGTGCTTAGTGCGATCAGGAATGGAAGTAACAAAGTTCCTGCTTACTGGTGTGAAAGGTACCTTATAATTTTGTATTTTTCGAATCGTCACCATACCAAACCGTTTTGCATTACTTATTATATTTAACTGCAAAAACACCAGCGGGTTACTGGCCATTTCAAGTCACAAAATGTGGGAAAATTTTCTAAAACTTCACTTTTATCGACATGTTTCTGTTATCGTAGTCGCGGGTACTCGAAATCATATGACTGAGTTACATCCAAACACCAGGTATATTGTTTGATTTTCAGGTGGTACAAATCAATATTTTTGCTACTTATAACGCTACGTCTACGTTTTTTTTTTTCATGTACTGAGAGATAATTATAAAAAATGCAATCCAGATAAATGATTTTGCTTGTTAGAATACAAACAGTTTGTTTACTTATTTATTGTACCGTCGACCAAAAAGCTTATTTGACTTCATAAGTATTTATCTATCATTCGAGAGTCTCATTGGCAAGAAATAACTATTTGCCAACATATGACTGGAATTATTTATTTAGCTAAAAACTAAAAACATTTTGGGGGTGCATATACGCAATACCAAAATAGCGTATCGTGTTCACTAAATACCCAAAATATAACCGATATATAACCGATAACAACACATGTTACCAAGTAGATTACCCTAAGTTTTAACAAATTCGTTGGTTACAGAAAAAACGTTGAGATCAGAAACACAACATAATATAAAAATATCACAAAGAATAAGTTGGCATTCTCTACTAACTTAAGCTTCGGCCCTGTAGCATTTCTTGTATCTCGCTAAAGCTCTTCCCTTTCGTCTCCGGTATCCAAATCAGAGTAAATATAGCAGTTAAGACATTGCAACCACCGAAAAACCAGAACGTTCCTGATTTTTGCAAGGAATTGGTGAGATCGTTGAAAAAATGCGTGATCAAGAACGAGCAAAACCAGCACATGCACGATACAGCTGCAGAAGAAATTGGCTTCACGCTATTGGGAAACAGTTGCGAACCGACCGCCCATGGTATTCCCGATAAACCTAGATTAAAGAAGGCACAGTAAAACAACAGGGAAACCAACGGGAGCCAAAAGAGCGGTTTGGCATTCTCTTCGTTGCTGTCGTGAATATAGAAAAACATACCAAGGGATACCATTGAAATTGCACTGCCTAAGCAGGAAGTGATCAGCGGTATCTTTTGGCCCAGGTTTTTTATCGCAAATGTGGAGGTAAAGCTGGAAATAAACAACCAACTACCATATAAGGTAGATCCCAGATCGGACGGAATATTAGTGCCGGAGGCGTCGAGAATCGTTTGCAAATAATAACCAACCGCGTTAATGCCAGAAAATTGGCTGCCCGTCATGATAATTAATGACAGTATTAGGGCGTGTCTGAGGCTCGGTTTCATAAAAATATCAGTTATGGATCCATTCTCATGTTTCCATACTGTCTCCTTTATTTGGAGAATTTCATTTTGTACCTCCGCAGAGGGAACAGATCTTAGCTTGACCAGGGAACTCTCCGCTTTCTTTTCGTCGCCTTTTTGAATATAATAATATGGCGTCTCCGGAGCTAGCAATGTGAAAACCACTAAAAATGTAGCTGGTAGAGCAGCAAGTATTAAATTAAATATTCTTATCGAAATGTATGGGCCAATGGCTAATGGCAATAAATTTCCTAGAGTCCAGAATATGGGCAAGATGGCCGAGAAAGCGTTTCTGTTGGAATCGGATGATACCTCGGCCACGTACATCGGAATGATGGCATAGCTAGAGCCAATGGAGAGGCCGCTGATGAACCTCCCGAAATAGAACAGATATACGTTTCGCGCAAATGCGTACGTCACATAAGCCACGAGGTGCGGTGTGGCGACACAAAGCAGCGTCGTCTTCCTTCCAATTCTATCCGCAATGAACCCTGCAGGCCAAGCTCCTATCATGGCACCCACGTTTAGAAGCGACCCGATCCAAGCATCTTCTTCTGGTGTGATTGGCTCTCCGAGTGGATTTTCGGATGTGTCGTTGGAATACAATTTGGGATATGTCGGAGATGTCCACGTCTGCGTAACATCTCCTGTCGTGGCCAATAGGGCAACTGAAATAATTCCAATTCCATTTTCCCGCGGTTTTATATCGCAAGTGGTGAAATTCAAATTTAGGGTGGGAAGACATTTTTCATGAAAAAAAAATAAAAAATTGCATTTTTAAAATAAAGGTTTTGCCCGATTTTCAATTATATGCTGGATTAAACGTGAACAGTGAAGTACCGGAAAAGAGTGATTCACAACTTTTAAAGGACAGCCACATAGAATATAGAAATAGAGATAAATAACTATATATCCATGTATCTTAATAACTGCCCAGATGTAGTTTAAATCCCAAAATTTTAACCTATATTTTAGTACTACTGTGCAAGAAACACTCAATCCTCACTTGTATTTTTTCTCATAAAACTAACGATTTTTTTATTAACTGTTATATTAACTGGTTTTTCCTATTATAAATATTTTCAATACTGTAATCTTGATTTTAAACAATTAAGCCCTCTTTAAAATAATATTTTATCATAATTGGTTGTTTCACGGATCAAATTTTCAAAAATTCTTATGCATCTATCTGACTTCTGCATTTTTTTACTCTCTACAATGCCACAATATTTGTCGTGCTACTTAACAAATTGATATTGATATAGGCATTGGTGCTGACTTGGTAAAATTTGATATCGCCACATTACCTCAAATAAAAACTATAAAAAATCATTTAATAACAAATATTACCTGCCAAAACATTCACTATGGCAAAACTAAACATTTCAGTATTCCAACGCACATTCGTAACCTTATTGTTTCCCAATCGAATTTCTAAAGAAATATGCATTGCGAATTATTTTGAAAAATCTCGATTGTGGGTATTGTAATCTTAAGAGTTTTATTATTTATCCGTATACATAGATTATTTCAATGTCGCTTGGTTATACCATCATTGAGAGTAATCGTTCGTAGTTTGGCGAGAAAGACTGAGGTTTCTTTGCACTTTTTTTACGCAGTAATTTCACCAGTCACGGGCCAATGCAGAAAAACAATCAAAAATAACAGTCGAATTACCGGTTATTATCTTGCCGCAGTCGTAGATGAATGTAAAAATCATTTTAATACGAGCTTTATGAGGAAAGTGTTCTAGAATATTATTAAATTTGTTATTCGCTTACTATAAAAGTTTTATACTAAAAACATTTGCTTGAAATTGACAAACAGAAATAGTTGATCGCAGTAGATAAGGAACATAACACCTAGCATTGTTCTAAAATTAACGTAATTTTATTTCGCACTCAGCTCAGTTAAACAACTGTTTGGTTCTTATTTAAAAACAATGCAATTTTTAAGCGTCTTTTTGGGAAAAACAAAGTGATATCCAAGATTACCTGGCACAGCACTTAAAGTGATAACCTTTAACCGATGTTCTGTTTGACATTGTTAATAGTAATTGCTGGTAGCAAATCTGAAAGCATGTGAAAAGCTGCTTAAATCAATTGCAGAGAGAGAGTAGCTGTTAAAATCAAAACCATCTCTGGTAGCTCTAATTTTCCAAAAGAGGTTAGTACCAAGACTCTGATTAAGTAAAGACTTTAATTCGTTTGGAACTAATAGAATGGTTTGAAAACTTAATCAGAAATTAAAGGAATTTCAATTGCAGAGCGTTTGCATGGCTAGTCTTTCCCGAGTAGGTAAGGATGTTGCTTTTCTCATTACGGCGAAATTTGAATATTTTCACTTGTGTTCCAAAAATATTCTTAGGTCTTGATTTAAATTTTTATATTCAGTGGCTAATCTATATAGAATTACAGTGATCACCGAAATGAAGTAACAAAAATTTAAAATTGCTCACAGATCACAAAAAAATTGTATGTCCAAGAATTTGAGCTGCTAAATACATCCCTCACGAGCATAGTTCAGATTAAATTTTATTCTACATATATTTTCATCTTTTATTTATTATTACTAAAATACATCAGGCATTGTTTAGTTACAAATAGTAATGTATTTTTTTTGTGGTAGTCGAAATTAATTCTTAAACATACATTACGAAAATTTTTGAGAATGTCGCGTTTTTTAGAACACAGGTATGAACTTTTCTAAATGCGATTAATTCATCTAATATTATTCTTGTGTTGTTATTTAGCAATCAACTTGAACGTTCATATATATTGTCGAAATTCGTCCTAAATAACATCAATTATTATACATATGCACATCATATCCAAAATATTACAATAAACAATATTTTAATAGACAATTTTGCTTATTTATTAGTATACATGTATCTATTGGGTGTTTTTTTTTTCGATGTATAGAACTTTAAGTTGCAATAAAACAACGATGGATTATTCGATTGACATGAATTTTATTTATCCGAAAGATAATCTTGTGGCATTACATTTTAAATATTTCTGGCATATGACCGCCACGGCTGGCGCAGATATAGTCTGATCTGGACGTCCAATTTTCGATTACTTTTTCCAACATTTGTGGCCGTATATCGGCAATAACACGGCGAATGTTGTCTTCCAAATGGTCAAGCGTTTGTGTCTTATCCGCTAGACCAATGACTTTACATAGCCCCACAGAAAGTAGTCTAGCGGTGTTAAATCACAAGATCTTGGAGGTCAATTCACAGGTCCAAAACGTGAAATTAGGCGGTCACCAAACGTGTCTTTCAATAAATCGATTCTGGCACGAGCTGTGTGACATGTTGCGCCGTCTTGTTGAAACCACATCTCCTGGACATTATGGTTATTCAATTCAGGAAAGAAAGAGTTAGTAATCATAGCTCTATACCGATCACCACTGACTGTAACGTTCTGGCCATCATCGTTTTTGAAGAAGTACGGACCAATGATTCCACCAGCCCATAAAGCTCACCAAACAGTCAGTTTTTCTGGATGTAACCGTGTTTCGACATACACTTGAGGATTCGCTTCGCTCCAAATGCGGCAGTTTTGTTTGTTGACGTAGCCATTCAACCAGAAGTGCGCTTCATCGCTAAACAAAATTCGCTTATGAAAATTGGGAACACCGCAATCTCGGACACAGATCCAATTCCTGTACTTGATGGCGGATGAACTCGTTCGGGTCTTCCTCAATGCTACGCTCTACAGCAGCAATAGCTTCGTCTGTACACACCGTACGGCGTCTCTGGGGATGCGAGTTATCCATAAGAGTAAACGTGGTGCAAAAACGTTCCATGGTTAATCGAATTAATTGCTCTGATGGACGATTTTGTCGACGATAAAATGGACGTAGTGCGCGATACGTATTCCGCACGGAACCATTATTTTCGAAATAAAATTGCACTATTTGCAAGCGTTGTTCAGGCGTGAGTCTATTCATGATGAATTGCCAAACCAAACTGAGAACAAATCACTTGACAGCTGTTAAATCGGTCGCCATCTTGAACAGTAATGCCAACTTAAAGTTCTATACATAAAAAAAACACCCATTACATAAAAAAATGCTTTAAGTTTCTTTAAGTCGAATTCTACCAGAAACGATTGCAAATTATTGTTTTGATTTCTGTTTATTCACACTCATTTATTTGATGTCAAATTTAGGTTTCAAACAGGTAAGACTACCCAAAACAGTAACCACTATTATAAACAAAGCTGTGCTTGGTAACACCATATTCAGATAAGAATAACCCCCAATACATTACAAAAGGCGGGAAAACGAAACTAAAACTAACGAAACAAAATTATGTTGTTTTATTACAACATCTTTTTACAGCAGAACTTATCCTAAAAATGGGAGAATTTTTACCCAAGTTATTATGACCGGAATATCAAATCTTATGCTTCGAGTAGCGATAACACTAGTAATGCTATATAGGTAATTTACTCTCCAATTCAAAAACCTACAAAAATTTCCCTCTATGCTTCCAAGATTAATTATATATTTACTATAGCAGGAATTAGAAATTATACATTCAAAAAATTCAGAAAAATTCAAGTGCATTTTTCAGAGGTATAATAAATATGACATGTAAATACTAATTTACGGCCAGATATTACCCCAAGGTCTTTAACCGTACTTACAGTTTAAAGCGGCTTAGAATTTCTTGAGTAATTAAAATTTAGAATGATTATATTCTTGGTGGACGAAAACGCCTAACACTTCTTTAAATTTAGAAAAACTTAATAATCATTACAATTCTATGCAATTCTAATAAAGTCCCCTGCAGTAGTCCGGATTTTACGAAACCCCTTTAGTCATCAGCGTATGGCAGAAACATGGAGTGCAGAATCTGATAGATTACCAAGATAGGTTCATATTACTAATTATAAATGGTCAAATTGTGATTTCCCCCAATTATATACGAAGAGAACCAGCGAAGAAAGTCACCATATACCAGGACTTTGGCAAGTTTCGGTACAAGAATATTGTGATTAACCAAATCAAGCGTTTATCAAGTCGGTGTATAAGTGGTAAACCTAAATTCGCACCAATTAAATGATGATTATACCAGTACAAATTACATTTTTTATTAATGCAGGTAAGTCATCAAACATAACCATTTCCATAATTTTACTAAATTTACTGATACCTCCATAATTTTTAAGAGACGATCGATCAATTAGTCCATATGCAGTGGAACACTCAAAAAGTTGTCTAGCTAGTTGAGTAGATATTTCTTTGCGGATGTTTTGTTTAACTCCTCGTTTTACAGCGTGTGAACAGTAGGGCAGCAAATAATTTCGATTTTGACGAATAATTTGCAGAAGATGAAGAAAATCTTTGTGTAGTTGTAATAGCATAACTCAGAAGGTACTATCCAATGGACCGTTTTGTAGCAAACAATTATTCTTTTTAGAGTTCTTCATAATGAGGCAAGTTAAATGGTGTGACCTTCATACTAAGCAAGACCAAAAAGAAAACAAAAATTGAGGTGTTAAAAGAAAAAAAATAAAAAATTATTTGCATTTTATCTTTCCTCCTTGTGACACGAGCAATATTAAACAGATCATAAATGTTTTAATGCTGAAAAAAATTACAAATTTTATAGTACAATATATGAAAAATCCAAATTCAAGGCAACCGTGACTCCATAGAGCGATATTATATCATGTTTTTGGCTGCGATCAAATCCGGGATTCCTATCAACGAGGTCATTTAAACCTCGTTTTGCAGCATATCATGTATTTCCGTAAAACTCATCCCTTTCGTTTCCGGCACCCAGATAATTGTAAAAACTGCCGCTACCAAATTGGCGCTTGAGAAGATCCAAAAGGTGCCAGCTCGACCAAAGGTATCATTCATATCGTTAAAAAAATTCGTTGTTAAGAAACTGAAGAACCACGATACCGACGATATAGATGCTGCAGAAATGGCTTTCACGTTATTCGGAAACAGTTGCGAGCTGACGGCCCACGGAATCCCGGACAATCCGAAATTATAAAACGCGATAAACGACAGCAACGACGCTATCGGCAACCACGAAAGCTCCGACGCCTTCTCTGGATCTGTATCGCGTATGTGAAAATACAAACCCAGCGCGAAAATTGACAACGCATTACCTACGCACGAGATAATCAACGGAATCCTTTGCCCTAACCTGTGTATCGCGAATGACGAAGAAAAGCTCGAGATAAAAGTCCAGGCACCGCATAACGTCGATCCTATGTCAGCGGTAATGTGGGTGTTACTTTCTTCCAGGATGGGTTGTAAGTAATACCCGATTGCTGTACTACCAGCGAGCTGACCGAACGATACCAAACTGGCGGAAATAGCAAACGCTCGCCTGAGACCTGGGTTTCTGAAGATATCCATCAACGTCCCGTCTTCGTGTTTCGCGATGATGTCTTTGATCTGGATAATTTCTTTCTCGACTCCCGCTTTATCCGTCGATCTCAGTGTCATCAAGCATTTCTCAGCTTCTTCTATGCGACCTTTTTGAACCAGATAGAGTGGTGTTTCTGGAGCTACGAGAATGAACACCACTATAAACACAGCCGGAAACCCAACAAGGATGGAATTGAAGATCTGAACTGATATGTAAGGTCCGATGGCGTAGGGTAAAAAATTGCCAAACGTCCAAAATATATTCAAAGTGGCGGTGTAGGAGTTCCTAGTTTTATCCGTACATATCTCGGCTATATACATCGGCATTAGAGCGTAGCCGGCTCCTACTGAGAGTCCATTAATAAATCTCGCAATGTAATACATGTAAACTTCATCAGCGAATACGAACATCAAGTAGGCGACAAGATGGGGTATAGCAATGCAAAGTAAGGATTTTTTTCTGCCAATGGTATCCGCGATGAATCCCACCGGTAGTGCACCTATCATCGCTCCTATATTCAGAAGCGACCCGATCCATGCATCTTGTTCTTCTGTGATGGGCTTGGCCAAAGGGTTTACCGATGTGTCGTTGGAATACAATTTGGGGTACATTGGTGACGTCCATGTTTGGGTTATGTCCCCCGATGTTGCGAGAAGATCCACTGAGAAAATAACGGTTATAAAGTTATGATATTGAAAAGAAATGGGGTTTTGTTTTTGTATGAAAATAACCTGTTATTTTGAAACTATACCGCTTGCTTTATATGTGGACTAATAAGTGCTATTTTAGAATGCCAAACGAAACGTTTTCCTGGAAGCGGAAATGTGCGGCGTTACATAGTACTTAAGTAAAATAACATAGGTCTACAAAATTAAACTTTTTGAAACATGTTTTTCTTATAGAAACTGATTTTATATAATTTTGGTAGATTGATTCAAAAATGCATTTATTTGTATCACATAAAGTTTTTTGCAAATATTAAAGGAAAACTACGATACTTCTACATTAATCATTTTTTATTCAATAAAAAAGTGGAATCCTAGTTAAAAAAAAAGCGAACAAAAACTTTACTCAGACTTATGAAGTGAAATCTTCGTCGTCGTCGTTTTCGAGAAAGCTGCGTTGTCCGCGGTAGTCCGCTATCATCATTATGCACCGCCTGTCCTGGTGAAACCTCTCTCCCTGTTCTTCGCTAACTGCTCCAAGATTTTCAGAAAAGTTATACAAGCGTGAAAACAAGAAATGCACTTTCAAACTCATATTACAACCTAGACGATGAAAGTGTAACATATTTTGAACAATACTTTCGTAGTTTTCGTCCTTAGGGTTCTCAAAAAACTTATCATTTACTTCTTTAAAATTTTCCTCTACGTTGGTCATTATGTTTTGAAAATCCTTGTTCTTGTATATTTTTTCTTATCTGCGGCTCAACGAAAATATTTGAAACAGTGTCCATTTTTATTTATGGCTTTAACTCTGAAATCTGGTGCGAAATCTGAGTCATCTGGCTCGGAATTCGATTCCTCTGATTCTGATGATATGACGCTTTCTAGTTCTTATGGAGCGGTAGGTATAGGTGCATCTTATCTGATCACAATTTGTTTCTTATTTTTTTTGTTGCATCCTTGAACATCCACGAACAAAAATAACAATCATCACTGTGATACCTAGGCTGTCGTCATACCATAGCAACGCCAAACCATAAACATTTCTTCTTACCTTTTTGACAGTTTCTTAATGCCTCAACGCAAACGTAACAAGCAGTATGAGTAGCACGGGACTTGTCTTGGTCGACCATTTTTGCACCAAAATAAGCGTGGTATACATTTTTCTCAAAAGAAGTTAAGTTTATCTTTTCTTTACCACAGATATAATAAAAGTTATTTCAATTATTCACACAATGTGTTCTTTCCATATTTATACCGTCTAGAACACTAGAAATACACACCAACAAAAACAATAACACATCATCAATACACAACCAATACAACCAAGCTGCGCATGAGCAGGTTACAACGCTGTATTGAGAAATGAGCAATCTAATATTATCTAGTGTTGTCAAATCACATTTTATTTCATAAAAACGAATTCATTTAAAAATCATTCCTCACATGGAACAAACATATTCATGTCTCAGGTATCTATATTAATAAAATAATACTTGTAAAATATAGAGCTTTATTAAAAAATGGCGCCATAGAGCAAAAATATGGTGTGTTTTGGAAAAAGGACCACCAAAAATATACGAATAATCAAAAAGCGTTCAAACATCAAAATCACCGTAGACCTGAGTAATCCTTTGGTCTCCGCATCCGAAATACAATTACTAACTGGATGGTTTTTTGACATGATAAATTTGAATTTGTTCTTAATATAGCTCTTACTTACTTACTTGTCATTTCTCAATTTCAAGGGCTCATGACTTTTTTCGCCACCTTGTATTATATTCTTTAAAAAAAAATGAAATTCTCAATTATTTTTATGCGAAAGGGGCATTCTTATTACAAGTCGCTAAGAGCAACGTATTCGAAATAATTTTGTTGGAAGTAATCGACGAATATGTTTAAAAAAGCAGTTCTACTGAAGAAAAAATTATCATGAAAGCTTGTATTACGTTAGAGTTTATTATAGAATGCCCTTTGTGTGTTTCCATTCGTGAAAACTAAAGACATAATAAAATTTTCACTTTAAAAACACGTGCTCGTACGACTACTATTCAGAGAACCTTTTGCACGTAAAAATGATTTTTAGCAGAAATACCTTGCCGGCTCCTACAAGGCGTAATGAAAATTTTAAATTAAAAAAATATATGTGGGTATTAATAACTAAGATCCAAAGAGCTAAATTCTCATGTCACGAAGCCCCCAATATATACTTTCAGAAATAGGCGGAATTTAGGATATTATGCAGAAAAATAATACAATTTTGCATTTCAGCATTTTAGACCACAGATTTATGTTAATTTTTTATCCTCAAAAATTATAATTTTTATTAATTAGTGATAGGTATGGAATATTTGACATATATAGAGAGAAGACGTGAAAAACGATAGGGAATGGTAGTAAAAAAATGTCCGTCTATCTTGAAACTGGCTTTCAATTTGAAATTTTTCCACTGTTAAAATTATTTTGACTAGACATTTACCTGCAAAAACACTGACTAACGCGTTACTGACCATTTCACATCACAAAATGTGGGAGGAATTTCTAAAAATTTCGGTCTTATCGAAACGTTTTTGTTATCGTGGTTCAGGGCACTCGAAGTCATGTGATTGAGTTACTTGGAAACGCGGAGTTTATTGTTTGATTTTAAGATGGTACCAATCAATATGTTCGCTACTTATAACGCTGCTCCTAGGTTTTTTTCCATTTTCTGGGAGATTATTCTGACAAAAATTCATATAATCGAGATAAAATGATTTTGCTTATTAGAATAGAGTTTGTTTACTTATTTATTACAACGTCGACCTTGAAAATTATGTTACTCCATAAAGATTTATCTATCATACTAGAGTATCGTAGGCAAGAAATAACTATTTGCGAATATATATACGTATTAATTCTTTAATTTCTTGCAATGCGTGCAGATATTCCCTCAGACTCTCGCTTCGATAAACCCCAATGTCCTTGAATTGTTCCAGGATACTGAAAACGTTCTGGTTATTGTATCATCAGGTGCAATGAATTCAATGCGCAATTCTTAAATACTATATCTTGGTTACTAAGCACTATAATAATATAGCAGATAACAAAACATTTTACCACGTATATCGCGTTATAAGAATTTCGTTGCTTAAAAAAACAAATATTTGTATGAGAAACACAGTATCAAAAAATATCACAAAGAACAAATTGGCATTTTCTGCCATCTTCAGTTTCGACCCTGTAGCATGTCCTGTATCTCGCTGAAGCTCTTGCCTTTTGTCTCCGGTATCCAAACCAGTGTAAAGATGGCGGTTAAGACGTTACACCCACCAAAAAGCCAGAACGTGCCTGATTTATCCAAAGAATTGGTCAGATCGTTGAAGAAATGTGTGATCAAGAACGAGCAAAACCAGCACATGCACGATACAGCTGCTGAAGAAATTGGCTTCACGCTATTGGGAAACAGTTGCGAGCCGACCGCCCATGGTATTCCCGCTAATCCTAGATTAAAGAAGGCACAGTAGACCAATAGGGAGACCAACGGGAGCCAAAAGAGTGGTTTGGCATCCTCTTCGTTATTGTCGTGAATATAGAAAAATATTCCAAGGGATACCATTGAAATTGCACTGCCTATGCATGATGCGATTAGTGGTATCTTCTGCCCCAGTTTTTTTACCGCAAATGTGGACGTAAAGCTGGAAATAAACAACCAGCCGCCATAGAAAGTAGATGCCAGATCAGACGGAATATCAGTGCCGGAGGCATCGAGAATCGGCTCCAAGTAATAACCAACTGCGTTGATACCAGAAAACTGGTTGCCCATCATAAGAATTAATGATAGTATTAGGGCGCGTCTGAGACTAGGTTTTATAAAAATATCCATTAAAGCTCCGTCCTCGTGTTTCCCTACGGTTTCTTTAATTTGAAGAATCTCTTTTTGTACCTCCGCACTTGGAATGGACCTGAGCTTGACCAGGGAGCTCTCCGCTTTCTTTTCGTTGCCTTTTTGAATATAATAATATGGTGTCTCCGGAGCCAGCAATATGAAAACCACCAAAAATGTAGCTGGTAAAGCGGCAAGTATTAAATTAAATATTTTGATCGTAATATATGGACCGATGGCGAATGGCAAGAAATTTCCCAGGGTCCAGAATATGGGCAACATGGCTGAGAAAGCGTTCCTGTTTGAATCAGACGACACCTCGGCTACGTACATTGGAATAATAGCATATCCAGAACCGACTGAAAGTCCGCTGATGAACCTTCCGAAGTAGAACAAATATACGTTCCGCGCAAAAGCGTACGCCACATAAGCCACGAGGTGAGGTATGGCGATGCAAAGAAGCGTCATCTTCCTGCCAATTCTATCCGCAATGAATCCTGCGGGCAAAGCTCCTATCATGGCACCCACGTTCAGAAGCGACCCGATCCAAGCATCTTCGTCAGGTGTAATTGGCTCTCCCAGTGGATTTTCGGATGTGTCGTTGGAATACAATTTGGGATATGTGGGAGAGGTCCATGTCTGCGTGACATCTCCTGACGTAGCCAATAGGGCAACTGAAATAATTCAAATTCTAATTACTGGCGGTGTTCAGTTTTGTATCTTTTATCATTAATATAAGACGAACGCGCCATTTAAATGAACATAGTCAGTCAGGGCTTACCACTTATCGCACTATTTTTAATTATTTGTTAACTACAATGACATTGAATACAGAAATATATATAAACTAAATGTCCAAGTATCTTTAATAAAATATTGATTCGCCAAGATTTTTGTGGTTTCTTACTGACCAAAATTAGTTTTGTTCAAAGTTAAAAAAAAATGCGTATACAGTTTAAATCTCAAAATTTTAACATCTCTTTTTTGTGCGTGGAGCATCAACACAGTTATATGATTTGAGATTAACATTGAAAATTAATGTGACATAAAACATTGTGTTTAACTTACCTTTTTTTGCCAAAAGGCGAACGACTTTTATGTTAAATGCTTCGAAAACAGTTTTAGCTTTTATAACTATATTTAGATTTCTGAAATTCCTAAATTTCATCTACTGTAACCTATGACTATATTTTATCTTGCCTTTTTGAAATGTTAAGGAGTTTTACGCAAATCAAGTTAAATAACTTTGTGGTAACTAGTAGCAACTAACATAAATTTAGCAATGCTGCAAAATGATCTTCAAAAAGCAAGTTGTCTCCACCTGCTACTGTTTTCTATATAAATATTATATTTTATATAATTTTACCATAATTGGTTTATAACTTCAAGGAACAAATTTTCAAAAATTCTTACTAAATACATCTATCTCTTGTCTGCAATTTTTTTTATCAGATATGAGTGGGGAATATTCTTATTTCCTATTTTTGCTACATATTCCTCAAGATTTTTAACAAATTTTTATTGATATGTTTTGATATAAATTTAATGTCTCAAAACTAACTCAAAATACTACAACAACCAATTAATAACAAAAGTCTTACCTGCCAAAACGCTCACTATGGCAAAACTAAACATTTCAGTATTCCAACGCACATTCACAACCTTATTGTTTCCCAATCGAATTTGAAAAGAAATATGCATTGCGAATTATTTTGAAAAATCTCGATTGTTGATTTTGTTATCTGAAGAGTTTTATTATTTTTACGTATACGTAGATTATTTCAATGTCACTTTTCTATGGTTGTACCATCATTGGGAGTAATCGTTTGTAGTTTGGCGAGAACGGCTGAGGTTTCTTTGTCATTTTTTATAGAGTAATTTCATCAGTCACAGGCTAATGCTGAACAACAATCAAAAATTACAGTCGAATTACCGGTTATAATCTCGCCGCGATCGCACTTGAATGTGCAAATCATTTTAATACGAGGTTTGTGTGGAAACTATCCTTGCATGATTTTAAATTTGTTATTCGTTCACTCGAATAGTTTTATACCAGAAAATATTTGCTTTGAATTGACAAACAGGAATAGTTGATCGCGATAGATAAGAATCACAATATCTAACATTGTTATTTTAAAATCAGCGTAATTTGGTTTCGCACTTAGCTTAGGTAAACAACAATTTGGTTTTTATTTCAAAACAGAATTTTTAAGAGTCTTTTAGGCGAAAACAAAGTGATACCGACGATTACCTGACGTACCACTTAAAAGGATACTCTCTAATCGACTTTAACCGAATACCATAGAACCAAAAAATTAAAAAACAGATGAATATTTCGTTCCATATATATTTTCATCTTTTATTTGTTATTTGTAAAATACTTCTGGATTCCTCCTGCGTCGGTTTTTGCTTAGTCGAAATTGCTGACGTTTCGCCAATCATCCTGTTGGCTTCTTCAGAGCTTGACTGAAACTGGCTCGTATTTTACTCTGTACCTGCTTATATATTGCTTGAAGGGGGGCGGGGGACTAATGAGGGGTATAAACACCGTCTCGGATGATGATTCCCAAATTGGTGACAGGTAGAGACCTGAGTCGCGATTAAGATTGTTAGGTTGTTTATAGATTTCTATAGACTCTCGGATTTTTCGTCGGTAGAAGAACAAGAAATTTAGTTTTATCAAATAAAATTTTATACCCGGTTTCATGAGTGTGTTCGGCAACAGCTGATGAGTTTATTTGTCTTAGTCGTAAGGCTCTTTCGTGTTCTTTGAGCCTAGTTGATATTTTTAGTAAATTGAACTGAGGCTTTTACTTGATGAAAATCCATTTATCAAAATAAATAAGAACTAAAAGTTCAGATTTTGACGAAATTATATATTATGACTTGACAATTGTTTTGACAACACCGTGTCTTTATCAAACAATCTGGAAAATATCCACTCTCGAAACATTTATTTATAAGAAACGTTAAGGGTTCTGATGTTTGAAAACAAATGTCTCTTAGTGTCTCACTTCTAATACAGTCCCATCCAGGAGCTTTTTTGGTTTGCAGTTTTTTTTATAACTCTCAATTTCCTGTACATCTTCGTTACATAATATCATTTCGATAATTAGGGATTACCCAGTTCAGTATAAAATTTATTACACTCGTTCGCAATTTTTAACCTATCTGTTGTTTTCTCATTGTTTCCACTTATTATCTGTCTAATCTGTGTTTTAGGTTTGGTGGTAGAACAGATGCGATTGACACGGTTCCACAACGCAGACGAAGAAGTTTGATTAGCGTTTTTTATGTGCACCCGCAATTTATTTTTATAACTGTTGTAACTGCTTTTTAATAATTGGTTGTTCGGGTTCTTAACTAAGTCTCTATATAATTGATTTTTTTCCCTAATTGTTTTTTGTAACTCTTTCGTCATCCATTCTTTTTTAAAATTACTTTTATGCTTATAAATAATGTTGTATGTGTTATTTTCTATGTATGTCTTTAATTTATTAATAAAATTTTCCATGGCAGCGTTGACATCGTTTGTATTGTGCACATCCAACCAATTTTCCCCCTCCAAGACATGTCTCATACTAAGATAATTAGTGCATTTTTTTATGTAGGAGTATATCTTTGTCTTTTTCTGAGTTGCTGTTAGTTGTACAGCTATTGGATAATGATCCGTGATGTCAACATCAAAGGTAAACGATTTTGAATTATTTACTATATGGGCTGGCCCTTTTATGAAAAAGTGATCTAAACAAGTAGATGATCTTGGTTGTGTTACTTTATTAATATGGGATGTAAATCTGTATTTTGTTAAGATATTTTTGTATTCTTCAACATAATCGACATCACTTAATAAATTAATGTTGATATCGCTAACCAATATATGAGAACTGTATTTCTTCCTATCATCCAAATATTGAAGTAAATGAAAATGAAAACATTTTGATTGTTTACTGAGATATTTATCTCTAAGACTTTTGTATTTTCCATTTGTACAGTGCTATTCTCAAAATTTAGTTGCGATTTCATATATACAATGACACCTTCATTCCTATTTACATTACCTTTGTTATAAAGAATATTGTAACCCTTTAAAATGAAGGGAGTTTTGTTTATGTCGTACTGGATAAATGTTTCGGACAGCACAATGCCATCAAACTCTGTAACAAAACTGTTAAGAAGAAAAAAAGAAAATTCCTCAAAGTTTTTGCCTAAGCTGCATATGTTAATGTGAATTATTTTAAAATCGGTTGCATTGAGAATTATATTATTAAATATTTTGACTAAAGTTTGTATCAACTACTTCTCTTTCAAAATCTCTAATGTAGGAGTCCATTTCAAATATAGTCTGTTTGTCTGCTTATTTCTAAAAACAAATGAAAACTTAAAACGTAAAACTCACTTTATTAGAATAATTTTCTTTTTATGGCATTTTCTCCGACGAGTATAGTTTTGGTTAGTAAGCTGTTCTACCGCTGTAGATGTTGCTATATACCGAGTGTGATTTGATTTTTGAGTTCTGATTTCTTCTTAAAGGGCTCTGAGTTAATGGCTCTACAATTTTCTTCTTTAGTCTTTTGGTAATTCGTGGTGTAGGTTCGGGACACGCAATCCTTGTTTTCCCTGTCTCTGGATCTATTATGGGACTCAATTCCTTTTGATTTGTATTGTCTATCCCTTCTTTATCCGAAACAATTTGCTCAAAATCGGAGTTTTCGTTGTCGCAGATTTCGTCTTGAAGCAAGGGAGTCGGTGATGCACTGCTAATTTTTCTTATCTCAATTTGATTCTGGCGCTGTTTCTAGCTGATCCACTGTATAAGCTTCACCGTTTACATACAATTTAACTTTGGTAATATATACTCCTTCACTTCGTGATTGGGCAATTTTTTTGTGTTTTACTAGAATCTTTCTTATTTCGCGCTCTTCTTTTGTCAAATCCTCCGATATACTAATATTAGTGCCTTTCAATTTTTTGCTATTTTTCAAAACTTGTTGCTTGACTAAATGTGAGACAAAGACTATTATTGGTCTTTTTACTTGCGTTGGCGACCATACTTGATAGATGTTATTAATTGTCGCCACTGTCATACAGTTTAGTTGGAGCAGTGCGTTAATTTGTGTAATAACAAACTCAAATAATGAGACGTTGTCAGTATAATCCAATCCAAAGATTATAATAATATTTCTTTTAAAGTTTTTCTCTATGTCATTAACCTTTTTTTTTCAAGTTTTCAAGTTCAACTTTTTTGTGACTTTCTTCTTGAATTCACTAATATTATGTTTTACAAGTGAGACTTCAAACTGAATTTCTTTCTTTAATTCGCTTGTCTGTTTTTCGTTGGCTTCTTCGATGGTTTTTGTTATTTTGTCATATCTATCGTCAGCAAAAATCTACGTATATGGCTTCCTTAACTGTCTCTTTTGTGCCTTTCACTGATAAAAATTGATAAAAACTTTGGCGCGGATCCTAACCTACGTACGTGTACATGTAAATCACGATTGCTTCTGTTATATTTTCATGATTTACGTACTTTTGATTCTACAACTTGCTCACACTACTGCCACCTATCACTGAACTCTGTTTTCAAATTTTTACTACCACTTTAACTGGATCTTTTAACTCTTTTACTGGTAGCACTTTTATACACTGTTGCTTCGCCAGTTTACACTGTACACTAGGTGACAAGACTAAATAAAATATATAGAAAATATCAGATAGTGATTTATTATTTACTAAATACCTCTAAATGTTAAAATAAATCTTAAACTTCTATTCAAAATTAAACCATTAAAGTTAAACAGTTTTAGAGACTTGAAAACCCTTTGAAATTTCAAATATATTTTTTTTTAATTCATGAATCCATTTTTACACGCCTAAGGTTTTGATCAATGGCTGTTTCATTTCATCTGCCGTTGAGTTTGGTCAGGTTAAAATAAACCTAATCGCCCATACTCAAAGTGACAAAGTGATTCACAAAACTAAGAATTCAAGTTAAATCTCAAAAGTTATTATTCTAAAGACACATGCTTTGCTCACACGGACATCATCAGACACACAATAAATAAAGTAGTATATATAAATTTAGCAATTGTATTTTTTTATTTAAACGATATATAGAAAACCAAGTAAAGAGTTGTAATTGAAATATAAGAAACTCGTTATCCGAGTTCCGCAATTTATATTACAAAAAAAAATTAATGTCGCATTAAAACTGGATTTACTCATTTCTAATTTCTCAAAAGGGTTAAGTTTTCTCTCTTTGAACATTCATTGACATTTTTATTAGGAGAAAACCTATAATCATCAGACAAAATATGAGTAGCAAAAGCTTATTTGATCTGTGTCAGAAGCTGGCACATTAGCGTCCTTGTACTTTTTCATCAAATTTAGATGTTCGGGAACGCTGAAGGATTACAATTTTTAAGGTTCAAACAAATAATCTACAAGATAATCAAAATCTATTAGAAATTGTGACACAATTTTAATTTTTTTTAATTTTTCGGTAGCTCTCGCAATTCCCCTAACTTTGCCACCTTTAATTCTTTGTTCTTTAGGCTTTTTTATTTGATTAAAATCTTCTTTATAATGTTACAAAAGACGAAATCTAATCTTACGACTTTACCATATATCTTACTATATATTACTTGCTAGAAATTACAAAAAAAAATGAAACGGCAATATATATATATATATATATATATATATATATATATATATATATATATATATATATATATATATATATATATGGCATTACATCCATATTCATCATTGGTCGATTTAGGTTGAGCTACTTTCTGAAAGGGCTTAATTAAGGATAGCTTCCAAAACAAAACTTCAACATAAGCGCTGGCACATCACACTACACTATCAATGAAGAAATAAGCTGCTTAACTGCATCCAATGTTGTAATACGAAGCCAAAAGGACAAATGATTACTAAATTTGGAACTATGGAATTTATGGTTAGAATTTTTGTTCGTTTATTATTTTTTAAAAATTGTTGGCGAACCATGGAGCCTAAGGTTTTTTTATACGTGATATCAGCCATGATGTGTTGTCATATATCTGACAGCGCCACAGTACATGCCCTCAAGTGGCAAGTTTAACCTTTTAAGCAAAACAGTTTTTGAGACCTTTACTTGTGCGTGTGTTTGAATCCTGAAGAGTTCTAATTATTGAACAAACCGCAATGCTTGTTGTACGCAGTTGGGGGCGGTTCTAGAAATGCTAATCCCTACAACGCTTTTGGCAAACTGAGTATCTAATTGTTTTGATTTCTTCCTGAGGATTTGTCATGAAATTGTCTTATTAGGCATTACTGAAAATCAAAATTATTGCGCTAGTCTTTAATATTGTCTTCTAGTTTCTGTTGTATGGCATCGAAGGTCTGTCCTTTCGTTTCCGGAACAGACGTCAAGCTGAAATACACTCCGTACAAGCAGAAAACGCTGAACACGAAGTACTTTCCCGAATCGCCCAAGTTCGTGTTAAAGTCCACGAAAACAGTAGACACCACGAAACACGATACCCAATAGACTACGGAAACCAATGTTGCCGATACGGCTTTGACGTCGTACGGAAACAACTCCGAGAAAATCACCCACGGAACACTGGCCGCACCGAAATTATAAAATAACACGAACGTCAGTTTGGCCACCAACGGGATCCAATAAAAATACGTTGTAAAATCCTTCGCGATATTTTCCAGAAAACAGTAAACGCCCAGAACCGTCAACGCCACCATGTTCCCGGAAAACGATATCGTCAAACACAGTTTCCTTCCGATTTTCTCGATCAACGCAGCGGAAAATACGCTGGAGAACAGTATGCAAGCACCACATATGAACGTCGATAGTTGCATCGCAAGCCCGTTGTCTGTAACCTCGAACGTATGTCGCAACTCGTGCGTCACTGTCCTTATTCCGGAAACTTGTTGGGCCACCATTAGAACCAAAGACACTGTCAGAGCGTATCTCAATTTTGGCTCCGTGATAGACCCCCTTGCGTATCCATTCATCGGTCCTTTTATATGAGTAATCTCTTTAGCGACCTCTTCGATTCCGTTGGATCTCAACCTCATTAACGTCGTCTCCGCTTTACTCTCCTTGTTCGTTCTAACCAGGTAGTGGGGGCTCTCCGAGCCATTTAATAAAAATATTATAAAAAATGTCACGGGTACGGCGGCTAGAATTATATTAAACTGGCGTGTGGGTAAGTAATAACCCACGCAGAACGGGATTAGACGTCCAATGTTCCAAGCGATGTTGAGCGTTGCTACCAACGCTCCCCTATAGGAATCCTCAGATATTTCGGCTATATAAGATGGCAACACCGAATATCCCGCTCCTGATGCGAAGCCAGCGACTATTCTTGCAGCGTAATACAATGAGATGGTCTTGGCAAATGCGAACATGAGATACGCGACTGCGTGTGGCAGGGCTGTGCAAAGTAGAACGGTTTTCCTTCCGAGTTTATCTGCTACGAAGGGAGTCGGTAAAGCACCCAACACGGCGCCTATGTAGAAAAACCACGAAATCCAGTTCTCTTCGTATTCGCTTATTCGTCTACCGAGAGGATTTTCGAACGTACTGTTTGATCTGAGAATGTAATATGTGGGGTGGGTCCATGTTTGGGCTACGTCGCCCACGGCTGCCAGGAGATCCACTGAAAATGAAACGAAATGTTATTAAAACCAGGGCACATTAAAATCTAATCCGCAACTTTTGAAACCTTTTTATCCGCTTAATTTTCAAGTTGGTTTTGGTAATTCGATTAAAAAGTACGGTCAATTATGGAATCAGCAAATTTTTAGTCCATCCAAGCTAAAAGTAGCGTTTTTCATATTTGTTCTATAACGCAAATGTTATATGTTTATGAGTTTCGTTTCCGTTTCAATCAATTTAACATAAAACCTAATATTATATCTTTTGGTGTACTTTCCTCCAGCCAAAATATTTCTATGTAAATTATCCTTTAAATTGGTAGTGTCGAAATTTTTAAAGAATACAAATCAACAGAATAAGTCAAGCGAAGGAACCTTCCACACAATGATGCTCATACGAAACATTATCATCACAAACAGGTGTATATATTTTTTCTTCAACACAACTTCTTATTTCTTTGAATTTTACCGAGCCTCGATAAAATATCTTCATATTATTAATAAATTATTATTATTATTTGAATTGAGAAGAACAGATACTTTAAAACAAATACTTTAAAATAAGAGATTATGACAGTTTCTTGTCTCTTTCAGTTTTTAAAACGAGTAAAATCTTATAGGTGTCTTATTACCAATTTTTTTTACGCCTTTTCTGGATATATAAATCTCCCTCTAATAAAAAATAGAACTTTCTAAATTTTTAGTTTTTATAAATAAGTGTGGGTAAAAAGCGTCTTTTTAAGAATGCTTTATTGTTATTATTATTACTATCATTATAAATAATGTAGGCTGCTAATGGTTTTTTGAGGAAATGATTTTTGTCACAATTTTAACGTCACTAGAAACAATTTTATCAAATTTGGTAAACGTCATAATTTTACGTTTCCAAATTTTAAAAAGAATTTTAGCGGTGGTCCCCGTAAACGAATTAGGCCTAATATTTTTAAGATAAAAATGTAATAAAATTTATTTCGTTCTTTTGCTTTTTCTCTTAATACGCCACTCTCAACAGAAAATTACAACAAAAAACTTAATATCATTAAACAAATAGCACTGAACAACGGCTACAATCCGTCCATTATAGACGATATAGATATAGATAGATAGAGATAGATAGATAAATAAAAAACAAATACAGACAACAGTAAACTCTATTTATCCGAAACCAAATACAGAACACGAAGAATTTAAAACAATTACATACATAGGAGAACTTAGTGAAAAAGTTTCAAAACATTTGTCAAAATGTGGTTTAAAAATGGCTTTCAGAACTAACAACACAATAGGAAAATATTTAAAAAACAATAAATCGAAATGTCCAAAATCCCAAAAATCAGGTGTCTATAGGTTGAAATGTGGATCTTGTCCTAGAATTTATGTTGGACAAACAGGTAGATCGTTCAAGAAATGCATTAACGAACATTAATTAAGGTTTTACGGTCATTTTTCGGTATATATAGTAGCAGGTAGTTTGTAAATATTACATTTGATAAAGACACGGTGTTGTCGAAACAATTGTCATGTCATAATATATAATTTCGTGAAAATCTGAACTTTTAGTTCTTATTTATTTTAACATCGGTAGTGTTACCAACTAACCACTCTTATGTCATCCCTGTCACGCATTCTGATCAGTACTTTCACTTCTAAACTAACCAAAACATAATCTAGGATAGTCCTAATAATACAGGGACATTTCCTTTATTTATCTGTTTATTTATGATTATTTGACCAAGCGTTCGTAAAATAACTGACAAGCATCTACAGCGGGATCTTTAAGAGTTTTTTTTTGTAAATATTGCATTTGATAAAGACACGGTGTTGTCGACACAATTGTCATGTCATAATATATAATTTCGTGAAAATCTCAACTTTTTGTTCTTATTTATTTTGATAAATGGATTTTCATCAAGTAAAAGCCACCTCAGTTCAATTTTCCAACTTTTCTGCATTATTTTTCCGCGTGCTTGCTACTCGACAGTAGGTATATACACTTATCGATACTACGTACTCATACACACACTGCAGATTACGTCATATCGACAATAAACTTGAAATTATTTTAAGGCCGACACAATCGTCATTTAGATTTCGCCGTATTATCTGAAAAACGTTAATAGCAATAACATTGATCTAAGAGTGATGCAAAATTTGATAAGTGAACATTTTATCACTGTTCACGCCTCGCCTACAACCAATTACAATTTCAATATACCAATAATTGTTCGTACAAAGATCGTCCATCTTTGCATATATTGCGCTTAAATTTAAAACATATCGATGCTTAATTACCTGTAAACACTGTTACCAATGTGTATACCAACATTTTGCAAGTGGGTCGTTAAAAATTCCCAGGACAATACCACAAATATACATCATCACAACTTTGCACTAAGAATCTGTACCCGCCTTTTGTACCCAAAAATACCGCAAGTTCTGAAGAAGCATAATAAACGTTTGCATTTTCGACGAACTGATGTTCGATTTGGCTATACGTTATTGATATCTTATCATTCTACGGCCGAATGGATAACTAATATTAAAATCTTTATCGTTTATGCGAGTTAAACCGACTTATCCGCTAAAACAATAACAGATTGGGTTTCCGTAAATTACTTAATAAATATTATCTTTGTTTTTGAAATTCATACGAATTTTCCGAATATTTTGCAAAGTCATTGCAAAATATTTAGTTAAAGTCTGGAAAGGGCAATCCATAGGCGTAGCTAGGAAATTATCGCGTATGGCGTATATACCGTTAATTTATAGTGTCAACAGTAAAGCTTCACATTATCTGGTAAACGAAAGAATCATTATTATTTTAAAATATTCTGAATTTCTCCTGCGTCGGGTGTTTGTATCAATTATTCAAATCAAATTTGTTGACGTTTCGCCAATTATCCTGTTAGCCGCTTCAGAGTTTAACTCACATTGTACTCTGTACCTGCTTATATATTGTTTGATGACACGTGCGATTCGAAATTCCGGATATTATAAAAAGGAAATATTCACCCCATACAGTTGGTGTAGCTTGGAACGACGAAAATGGGTAAAACGACAAAATATTACGGATGTATTGCTATTGTAAAACACATTTTCTCCATATTTTTTATTTTCTTAAACTATTGGAGACGATTCTCTCATTCTCTTTAGTTTTCCTTAACTGAATGTAACGAACTTACGCAATGACATGGGAAAAATTTATTTCGGTTTATTAGTTGCTATGAATACATAAACTCTACATTGTTTTGAAAATCACAGAACGACCTTATCCCCTTCAAAATACTCTCCATTACAACTAATACATTTGTCCCAGCGGTGCTTCCACTGTTCGAAACATTTTTTATATTCATCTTTGGCTATAGCCGACAGCTCATCCCTCGTTTTTTTTACCTCTTCAATGTTGTCAAATCGCTGTCCTTTCATGTCTATTTCCATACGTGCAAATAAGAAGAAGTCACGCGGAGCGAAATCAGGCGAATAAGGTGCATGGGGCAGAGGAACCATGCCATTTTTAGCCAAAAACTGCTTAACAGAAATGGCTGTGTGTGCAGGTGCATTATCGTGGTGAAGGAACCACTCCTCTGTCCGCCACAAATCGGGTCTTTTTTGTCGAATACTGTTGCGTAATCTTCTTAAAACTTCCAGATTAAAAGCTTGATTAACGGTCTCACCTGGTGGAACGAACTCTGCATGAACTACGCCGTTGATGTCGAAAAAGCAAATCAGCATCGTTTTGATGTTTGATTTGACCTTACGACATTTTTTGGACGGGGAGACAGTGACGTCTTCCATTGGCTGGACTGTTGACTCGTAATGAATGATCTTTGAAAGGAAATCTGGATCCGTTTCAAGCTGTTGATTCAAAGCGCGACATGTTTCAACTCGATGTTCTTTTTGCATGTCAGTCAGAACACGAGGAACAAACTTGGCAGCAACTCTTTTCATTCCCAAATCTTCGGTTAAAATTCGCTGAACCGTGCTCCAAGACAACCCACTAATCTTTAATAATTGTTCAATTGTCTGTCGACGGTCTGTGAGCACAAACTCTCGAATCTTTTCAATATTTCCGTCGATTCGAGCAGTTGATGGACGTCCAGAACGAGGTCGGTCATTAATTGACTCGTCGCCATTTTTGAAGCAAACAAACCATTAGCGGCAGAAAGGTGTACTATACAAACTTTGCGGTACCCCTCGTATGTTGTTCCTTTAATTTCCTCAATACAGTTGATATCAGTATTAAATTCTGTTGTAATTTTGCTGGTACTCATCTCTAGTTGCTCTTAATATTTACAATCCTCGCATCCCGCACATTTTGCATCCCGAAATCTCGAAAAAAAAGAACGAAATCCAGAAATAATTCGCCTCAACAAACATGCTGCTTTCATCGAAAAGTCGAATGTGGCAAATCACGATTTGAAATTAATTGCAAAAATTAAAATGACTGGCTGAACAAGTATCGAACAATGTCGATAAGATAAGCTTTGTTTTTATTCATTCAGATAAAATTTTTAAAAGGCAATTTTTCCTATAATAGTATCTACATCTCATATGAACACCCTGTCTCAGATGAAGACTACGGGATTGTATAAACTACGTTTTGTTAGAATCGTGAATTGTCTTTTCTTAAATTAAGGAAATGCTTTTGAGTTTTGGGAAAAGTGCACTGTCCTCGGTCGTTTAGTTATTTTTTAATTTAGCAAATTACTTTCAATTAATTTTGATTTAATAAATAAACAAATTTTAACATCAGTTTGAAAATAACTTTAAAATAATTAGGAGAATGCGGTTCCATCTTTCTTTTTGAATTGTCGTAGTTTTTTTCCTTCTTTTTTTTTCGGAAACCAATTCGCTTTAACTCCTCCCTAGTGAAATAAGCAATTTTGCCGAGGAATCGGGGGTATGCGTATATTTGGTGACAGCCGTCACTTTGTGCATAAAATTTATAAGAGGTGCTTTGCGTAAACAGTGAATAGCTAAAAATTGGATTCCCGTCTTCTTGTCACGGGAAAAGAAAAATATTTCCTTGACAGGGGTGGAGATATTCGCGCGCAGAACTTCAGAATGTGGGGTTCCGGTAAAATTGGGGCGAAGTGGTTTTGCTGTTTGGAAGGTGACATGTTTTTATATGACAGTATAAACTTATTCAGGTAATTTTGCGTAAGTGCAAGGCTGTCTGGTTATAAATTAAAACCCCATCTACAAAAAATGTAAATTTAAAATTTGCAGGATTTGACCCAAATCCGTAGTCTTCAAATTAAATACCGACAAGTCATAGATATTTATTGGTTAATATATTTGAAATTATTCTCAGTATTTATATAAAATTGAACTTCGTGGCAGTTTGCTCAATGTTCATTTGTCTAATTATATTAAAACTATTATTTTATGCATTTTTTTGACGTTGCTATGATAAACTCCGTATATGGGTTGTCAAATTATAGCTTGTACACACGTACAGTTGTCCATAAATTGTATAAAAATTGAAAACCAGATGTTCTGTTTTTCTCACTTTAACGGGAAAATAGACAAGAGTGACGAAGACAGATCATCAGTTCCTAGCAGAACGTTGTTCCGTATTCAAGAATCGATACTCAACTCTTTTTAAAAAACTCTTTTTCTACTCGCGTCTGTATAATTGCTAATTATACACCAATCTAGCGTGCGGGAAGCGTCACTTTACCACGTAAGTTTCGTTTCCTACGCATCCGTGCCACTTCGGACATTTCCGGAATTTTACCGCACGGGTTTGAGAGCAAACGGATGTTTTCGGAGATTTTGTAATGTATTCGTGTTGTTTTGCAAAAATGTACCCAAAAACTAGTACAAAGAAAAATATTATGCAGTATATCAGACAATTAAAATACTACGTGCTACAAGCTACAATTAAAATCTGGTGGACTATTCGGTAAGTAAAGTGACATTTACTTTTTTTATAAATATCTTGCCAAGACCGATTATACCATTTTCAAATATCCATGTCTCATCAGTACAAACAAAACAGGACCTGCTTTTTCTTGCTTATACAATCCAAGGATGATTTTTCTTCTAATTACAGTATTTTTCTTTAAATAATCTACTTAATGATTAATTGCAAAAGTTAAATAAACAGCATAACGTTTAAAAATTGTCTTTATTCCGTTGTTTACATTACATATCCAATAATACGTCTCTCTCTATCTAACGTACACAGTTAAAAAGACAACAATAGCAGAAGCCATCGGAACGATAAACGAATAGGTTTTGCAAAACACCACGAATACATTCACTGACATGACCGTCAGAATTAACAAACGTCAAAATTCAATGCTTGGGAAATGTCTCCGAAAACATCCGATTGCTCCCAAATCCGTGCGGTAAAATCCCGGAAATGTCCGAAGTGGTTCCGATTCGTGGGAAACGAAATTAACGTGGTAAAGTGACGCTTCCCGCACGCTAGATCGCTGCGCTACGCTCGTGCCAAATAAACTCGTGAGCTAAATGCTGTTTACCGCACCTCTTGCATAATATATTATTACAGTGGTAATTTAAACCATACGCGGTTAACGCATGTAACAAAGTGTCTACCGGTCTCTTTTAACGACAAAAATTGTGATTTGATATGATTGATTGAATGTACTTTCGAGTTCTATAAAATGAAGCCAATAAATTAATTTGAACTTTTAATGTTTGAACTATTGACAATTCGAAGCAATATAAAACACCTCGTAATAAATTTATCCGGAACTTTAAAACCTTAACTTCTTATTAGAAATGCTTAAGGTTTTTCTCGGTTTCGCTACGGGATTTCAGCAGAAATAAAAAAATGGGAGAACATCACGCAGAAAAGTCATTAGTGGCGGATTGGATGGCAAAAATCTGTTTTAAATACCAACATCCCAACCGCAATTCGCTCGTCTGGGCCATGTTTTAAAACATTAATCTTTTTTGATTTTCAATCATTGGCGTGACGTAAGAGCTTTAGTACTTACATCTTAAGGATTAAAATACAGTTTGATTTTTGGTGCAATTTATAAAACATTTTAAAGACTAATTGGGGCACTTTTGACTTCTAACCTGTGTATGGATTGTCAATTGTTTTTAATTTAAACAAAAAATTCTGCGGGCACTGAGGATATACACGCTTGAATGCTAGAATTCCTTAGTCAAAACCAGGGATATTTTCAAGTTCTTTTAAAAAGTCCGGCTTTTTTGTACAATTTGCAAGGTGTTATTAATGGTGGATCAACACTGAAGGATTGCATTCATTTTTAGAAAAAAAAAATGAACGTATGTCCAAAACATCTTATCTGTTGAGATACGGAGTGCTAAAGTTTTCAGAAAAAACATATTTTGTTATATTACCTATGAAGTTTGGTATATCCATTCTGCATTAAAAGGCATTTTCAGACAGGCGACACATTTTTAATTTCTATCAGCGGCATCATAAGGGAGGTGGGGCGTAATTTCCTAGGTGATGGTCAAATTATTTCTGCATAAAAGTCACCTTTTTCTTGCCGTATACACC